CTTCAAACAAGCAAACTTGCAAACAAGCAAACAAACAAGCAGACCAACCAACCAACCAACCAACCAGACAAACACAAGCTCAGCACACAGCAAAAAACTCCCCCCCAGCACACACTCCAGATAGCCACTTACCACAAGGATCCTGTTTTTACTCCTCTTTTACCTAGAGAACACCCTCTCCAAACTTCCTGTTAGCTGTTCCTGGTTGCTGAGTTACAGGCTTATATAGCTCTGGTAGCCCCTCCCCCTGACTGAGGCTCAGCCAATTAACATTCCTGACCCTTTTCTGTCTTTTTTGGTTGCTCAAATTTTTTGCTGTTGCTTATGTTTCCTGATGGTCTTAATTTTAAAGGAGGAAATCCCAAGCTAAGGTTAGACATTGTCATAGTTTGTCTAACTGCAAATCAAAGATACCTTGATTGTATTGTCCAGTTAGCCAGGATGGTAGAAAAATAACTACAGGAATGAAAACAGGGCTAGGGCTGCCTTGCTTCACAGGCCTCTGAAAAGGGCTCTCAGCTCCTTCTACAGGAAATCAGTGTCAGATCTTGCCTTGTTTGTTTTGGTTAATGAACCTGAAGATAGTTAACATGTTGCCTGAGAAAATTATGATGTTATATTTAATGTCAACAGTTTTGCTACTTTAATTCAGAGAAGTCTATGAACTGTATTATGTAGGAAGCCAGATTAGATGATCATTGTGGTCCCTTCTGGCCTTATAATCTATTAACTCCTTGCTCCCTAGCAGCAGGAACTGTTCCAACAATATTATTAAACAGGGTGGGTTTTTTTGGCGGGGGGTCTGTTAAAGAAAAATGATTAGTAGTCAGTGTCTGGATTTATAAAAATTGTAAAGACAGAAATTCAAAATCTTATATGGGTATTGCACACTTGCAGGCCCACCAACAGGGCAGGGGAGGATCGGGGCAAAAAAGGCAATTATGCTAGGGCCCTAGGATTCAAAAGGGCCCAGAGCTCCCAGCCAATGCTGACACTACTGAAGCAGCAGCCGCAGCTGGAGTCCCAGACCCTTTTGTATTGCTGCCGGACTGCAGCTATGTGTGACTCTGAAGGCTGGAGTGGGGGGAGGTGGCACCTCAGTCTGGACAGTGCTAAAGACAGACTAGACTGTCTTTTGCCTTGCTCCTTCCACCCTAGGCCCTGACCCTTCTGGGGGTGCAGAGCTGTCCCATCCCACCTTACCCCAGGGCCCGCAATAGTTGTCAGCCCCACTGTACACTTATTATTAAGGAACCCTTATGATACAAGCTGTTTAGTATATATTCAGATTAGTATATATTATCAGCATATCTGAATTCTGCACACTTTAAATGGGACTGAACATGCATAGAGCTACCAAAATGGGCCTGATTTTGTATTGCAATGAAGGACCCAGTCAAGAAGAGGCAAATCCATTTCCGAGTAATCAAACTGGATATTGGGGAGATCTTAGGTGAGAAGGGAGAGAAGTCTTCTCCCTAAGCATACAGAGTGACAAACCTCTGCATAGAACTGAGAGTGTAAATATTTGTAAAAGGAATTTCTACTGGCTATGTCAAATTATTATCTGGAAAAACTTCTTTTATCTTTTTTTTACAAGTTGCCTCTTCTAGATCAAACATTAGAGGAACTTTTTAAACTGATGTCAATGGTTTCCAGAAAGAGAATGTTAATTGCTCTCGTTTGTTCTTAGATATAGATTATGTTTAGATACTTTTCTGTCAATTTTGTAACAAAATGTATTTTTGGGAAACAATTCTTATGTTTCCAGATTTTCCAGGACAAAAACAAACCAGAAGTAGGAAGTCTTCTTCATATAAATGAGAGATCCTTGAAGTCTTTCATCTTCAAAAATGCCATTTAAAATATCAAAGTTGTGAACTTATTTTCTAACATACTGATCAGTTAGTGTCACATATTCAAAACAAAGAACACAGAGTTGGAAGAACCATCTGTTTCTACTCAGGCAATAGTCTTTTGAAAATCAGTGACAATCATATGGAAAATTAGTTTTGTCACTGTTGTTGAAGCTTCCCGCTTACATAATGTATTTTATAGTTTTAGATTAATACCACAACTTCCAGAATGCAACTTGAAATAATACATTATAGTACTAAGAAAAATTGATGTTCTATACTTTAGCAGATAATAGTTATTTCAACTACTGAAAGTATTTGTAAATAAGTAGTTTTTCATTCAATTGCAGTTTCTTAGCTAATGTTGTGATGTATAACCTGATTTTATTTATTTATGTTTATTTTTTACTTTAAAAAAACCATATAGATATCAGGTATGCTAATTCCGGTCATCCCTGCATTTGCTTGAAGACCTACTAATAGTAGAAAGCAATGTCTCAGAGCATGCTTACTATGTATTCTCACACCATAGTTGAAGGGGACAATTTGAATCTTTAACAAAGACAACCTTTATCTAAAAAGTTAGTTAGTCACTGAAGTTAAATAACTGTAAAACAAAATTTAAGAGTCTAAGACGTTCTCTATTCTGGGCAGTTTAATTAAATTGGTAATTGGTTTAAAACTAGCTAGTATCCATTTTGTTTAAGTCAGTTCAAAAGTCTATAGCAATAGGTCTCCTGGTAGAGTAGGAGATAATATTTCAGCCTATTTAAACAGAATAGCTAACTGAAGCCTGTTTTACACAGTTTTGTACTGCTATAATTACTTTGGTTTAGAAACTTAGAATATGGCTACACTGCCACCCTAGTTCTAACTAGGGTGGCTAATGTAGTCATTCGAACTTGCAAATGAAGCCCGGGATTTAAACATCCCGGGCTTCATTTGCATGTTCCTGGGGGCCGCCATTTTTAAATGCCCGGTAGCTCGAACTACCTGCCCATGGCTACACGCGGCACAGGCTAGGTAGTTCGAATTAACACTCTTAATTCGAACTACCGTTACTCCTCCTGGTGCAGTTATACAGATCTAAAGATGCTTACAGCAATATAGTGTATTCCTGTTCAGCAATCATGTTGAAATAGGATTATATGATCTCGTTCAGACAGTTGGTAAAATGATCAATAGTTATTATTACCAATGATGATTGCAATTATTTTCAGTTACATACATATGGCTGTTTTGGCCATTTAGATTATATTTGGCTATTAAGGAGTGCCTATAATGAGAAGTCATGTAGCTGGGCATAGGTACATCTACATACACATACAATAGTTAGCAAAAAGTTCTGACTTACAATAGTAATTACACAACTGCACAGCTGGCAGCTAATTAGATTGTTTTATTTTACATTGTAATTCCACAGAGTTAAGCATCAGTGGAGGGAAAGCCAAAGTTAATACTTTAGAAAACAGTTTGTGGAATATAATTTGCTTGACAAGATTTCTCCCTGAATGCTAATCTTTGTATTTTATTATTTAATAAAAAAATATTTGAACCTTTAGGACAAATTATGTACTTGTAACTTCTTTTTCTGTATTAACTGGAAATGGAAGCTTCTAATTGCATACATACCCATTCATCTCAAAAGCTCAAAACAGCTGTTAATGTAGCTGAACAAATCTAATAACTGCAAATGTCTCTGAGGCTTATAGCCCTATAACTCTCTTTGCAAGTTACATTTTTTCCTTGTATTACACATGCTGCTACATGCATACATTCATACTAAATGAGATCTCTTGTTTAACTGTGTGAATACATTTGCATCTCTGAAGTTCAAGAGGAAACTGCTTAGGTCACATAGCACAGCTAATATTTCTTAATTGCTTATACCACACAGTATGTTTATTGAGATGTAAAAGTCTGTGATCATACAACGTTAAAGATCTCAATTTCCCTAAGATGAGAAAATTCACAGCTGATTTTCCCTTTGTCCCTTTTTATGTATATAGTATAATAGAGTCTTTTGTCAAATGATCAAAACTGTATTTCTTTCTAAAAATATGCTTTTGCTCAAATGCAAGCTATGAGATTGATTCAGGGATTTCTGGATGAAGTTTTATGGCCTATATTCTATAGGTCAGAGTCAATGACCTTTCCTGAATGTCAAATCTATGACTCTGTTCTCAAGTGCACAAGTGTTGCTAAGGTCATATACTGTATATATGGACACCCAAGTGAAAGAAAATGGTTTAACTTAAACAATACATATTTCAATGTAATGTGACATCAGTAGGATTGTAAATACATTATAGAAAAATCCCATTTCCTGCAGATCCGTTTTGCTACATTTATTGTATCTCACTTGCTCTCTCTCTCTCTACACACACACACACAATATTAAAAGTCTGGATTGGAACATTGAGCTCTTAAAAGTTTAGGTAATGCCATAATTAAGATCTCTCATGCAACCTTAATTTGTCCCACTAGTTAGTATGCATTCTGATCTAGTCTTAATCTCAAACTGTTCCCCCCTCCCCATAGGACCCCTTCTTCATTCACTGCATAGTCCCAGTCTCCTCAGCCAGCAAGTCCTGGTCTTATATCTCCAGACTATTAGTCTTAGTTGCCCCTTGCTGATGTGCATTTTGCTGTTCTTCCAGCACTGTCTCCAACAATGCATCTATGACTGTCCTTCACACTAACCAATAGTACCTGAGAAAGGTGGGCATATCAAGTTTGTTGTGCCTATTTCTGTCAGCATGGACAGTATTGAGCATGTTGCAGGAGCATTTTGTAAACTTTCTTAATGAGAACTAGAATGAGAGCTCAGAAAGTGCTGACTGTGGCTGTACAGGATTTAACTTTCAATACTGAGTCTGTGTGTTTAATGTTTTTAGGAATAATTTTTACAGATGATGATCAATGCACAGAATTTGACTTTCAAAAATAAAACTGCTAATTACAGTAAATGCAATTACTTTTCCGCAATACTTCTGTTAAAATTGAAGCAATTTTTTAAATGTAACTATCAAACTGCTTTGAATGTCATTCTATTAACAATTGTCTGTCACATCTTTCTAACATCTATTTTTGTTTGTTTTTCAAATGCCACCTGGAGGCAACATATGGAATAGAAAGGCTTGCCTGAATATTGTGAAATGGCTTCTCATTTTCATAAGATTCACTGTTACGTGTGAAGTCATCGATGCTAAGCTGAAAAACAGAAGAATGGGATAGGTCACACTGTGTCATCTCAGCTCATTACACACAAGCTGTACTCTGCATTGACAAGATGAAACAAATTACCAGTACATACCGTATCTTGAAGGAACAAGACAAGGTTCTTGGAATCCTGGGTAAACACAGGTTGCAATAGCATATGTAGCTCCTGCTTTGAGATAATATGTCCTTCATGTAAAGTAGCTTCAGAATTCCACAATGAGCTAAAATTAAAGTTAAATATTTTCCTTTATACTTGTTGCAAAGATTGACGTTTTGTTTCACATCAATATACAAATGATGATAATGATATCATAGCCTTTGGGTAAAAATTGAGTGTAATATCCGACAGTCTATTCTAGATGTGAATTCAATAGGACAAATTATATGAAGTCAGTTAAGTTAAGCTAAGGATGAACTGGGGCATGAATTATTATTATTTATTACTATCACCTGCCATTAGTATTTATTGTGATTTGTGGAGTGTCAATAATACGCTAGATGTTTTATTGACATGTGTAAACTGATGACCCTCACATGAAGAATTTACATTCTCAGTGCCCAATCCTACAAACACATAAGAACATAAGAACGGCCGTACTGGGTCAGACCAACGTTCCATCTAGCCCAGTATCCTGTCTGCTGACAGTGGCCAGTACCAGATGCCCCAGAGGGAGGGAACACAACAGGTAATCATCACATATCATATATTACTAAACAATATGCTTTCCACTGTGGATGATTCCACAGAAGTCAGTGACACTGCTAATGGTAATAAACACTGAGGATCCAGTTCAGCAAACCATCAGTGTTCAGCAAAATCTATGCTTAACTAGACCTTAATGGGGACATAAGTACATACTTAAGCAGTTTACGGAATTGGTATTGATTTAAGCATATACATTAGTATATTATTGTAATAGACATAGCATATTTTTAAAAGAAAGTTGATGATGCATATTACCTGTGATGGGAGTGATCACAGAAGTCAACTTGGGATTGTTCCCTAATGTGCCAATTAAGCCCCTGATGCAACCTTCTTGCTCTCTGGGCCTCCCTACCACCTGTCCTGCTGGTCCAGATTCTCTGGTCTTCCCCCAGACAAGGCACAGAGTTGGGGTTACCACCTCCCTTCAGAGCAATGCAGACACTGAATTACTTCAAGAAGACTCAGTTCTAGGGCTCAGCACCTAGGAAACCAATCCCCAAAAGGGATCAAAGCCCCAAACAAATCCATCTTTTCCTGTGTAAAAGTTTTACACAGAGAAGGCTCATAGGTAAGTTCTCTTTATCAATGAAAGAGAGATATGTACAATGGTTGCTCCCCCCAGATAAGAATTATTCACATTGGGCCTAATAGTAAACAAACATATTTTTATTAAGTGCTAAAAGTAGGATTTAAGTGGTTGCAAGTGATCAAAATAAATTTCTAAATGAAAATGAATGGAATACACATAGCTAGTTCTTATCCATTAAGAAGTTTTCTAATCCATTAAGAAATGTTTACCCTAAACAGCTATTCTTTTTTCAGGTATAAGCTTCAAACCAGAGGGTTTTTTTACTCTGACGTGGATTGCCATCTCTCTTCAAAGTTCTTTGTATCCTCTTACCGTGGTCACCAACCAGTAGATCAGGATCTACCGGTAGATCTTGGAGCTTCTGGCAGGTGATCCTGACTGGTTTGGCCAAGAGGCTATCAAGGGCCAGCACTTCAGCTGCCCCCTCTCCCCACTGCAGCTTTTCTTCTGCCCTTTGCCTTGAAGATGCCCCGCCCTCTGGGGAGGCTTCTACTTTCTGTTCAGGGCAGGGGAGGGGGAGAAGGGGTGCTGATGTGAAGGTGCCCCCTCCAACTCTGTATCCTTTCTCTGCAAAGCAGAGAGGGGGCACAACAGGACTTGGGATGGAGTTTTCTGGCTGCTTTAGGGAGTGGTCCAGGGCCAGAGACACCTGAGGTATGCAGTGCCCAGCTGGAGCCCACATCCCTAACTCCTACCCCAGTCATGAACCCCCTCCTGCACACCAATCCCTGAGCATCCCTGCATCCAAATGCCATACCAGAGCCTGCATCTACAACCCCTTCCTACATCCCAACGGTCTGCCCCAAGAGCAGCTCAGAGCCCCTCTCATGCTCCAGATCCCTTAATCCAAGACCAGAGCCTGAACCTCAACCCTCTGTCCCAGCCTGGTGAAAGTGAGTGAGGATGAAGGAGGGAGTGAGAAGGGGCAGGGCCTCAGAGAAGGGGCAGGAAGGAGGTGGGCCCAGGGTATTTATATTTGAGGTAGATCTTGGACTGCACTTACATTCAAAAACTGATCTCATGCTCAAAAAGGTTGGAGATCCCTGTCTTAGGACATGTCACACAGTTTTCATTGAAGACCAAAGCCGATGGCTTACTATTGCTTAAACACTTTCCCGCAGGGAAGGAATCCTTTGTTTTGCATCCCATCCTCCAATGGAAAAATGCCAAGTTCAAAATGGATTTCAGTACCAGGTGGCATGGTTACATGTCTTTCTAGATCTACCACCTTTGGACTTACAGGACAAAAAAGGCTGTTTATAGGTCATTGAGCTGATCATTGAGCTGATCATTAAGTTTCTGGGGCACCAATAAGGGCTCCCATTAACACATTTAGAACTATAAACAGATTCATACTTTTTATTTCTAACTTCACATACAAGAATGATATATGCACAAAAAAGCATATATAGATCCAGCAGATTGTTACTATAAAATTTACATGTTACATGGCTTGTTTTGCATAAGGCATCTTTGCATTATGCATATTCATATTCAGAAGCCAATTCTCATAATGCATTTGGGGGGAAAACCTCATGCTAACTTTCTTTTATATAAAACATACTTTACACGTTGGCAGGAAGTATTGTTTGATTGTTTAGAATTCAAGAGACATTTTCCATTTGCTTCCTTTGGATTCTTGTAATGGTCCTTTCATCCTCTAGAGACATGGCTGCAAGCTGTCCTATGTTCTAAACGGAAATAGATTAGCCATTACAAGTGTTCAAAAATGGCCTTAGTAAAATTAATAATGTGGCAGAAAACAACACACTGGTGACAAAAAAAGGCTGCTAAGATTCAACTTGTGAAGCAAAATGAAAACAACTGTTCTTTGGTGCCAGATTTCTTCTTGAATTAACCATACTTAGCTGGGAACAAAGAGCAACCAGACCGAGAGGAAGAAATGCAAATCGATAGAGAGGGTGTTACTGTGTTGATGATGATGACACTTTTTCAGAAGAGGGTATAGAAAATGTGTCACATTCATTAATCCCACTGCCTTTTCCACTTCATACAGTCTTTTAGACCATTACTAAAGAGATATGAGGAGGATCATGAATATAGGGAAGCTGATGAGGAAAGGTTGATAATAGATTTGTGATGAGGAGGTGAAGCAGTAAGTTGACTTATTGTAGCTAAGGCTAAAAGGCTGCCATTGAAAGACCAATTTCCCTGTAGTAGCATCCTCTATTAGAATCTTTTATCTGGTCTCTGTGGATTTCTGCTGGAGAACCCATCACACCAAAGAACCACTCGACAAATAGATTCAATTGTTTTGTGCCAAAATGTGGTTGCCAACTGGAATCAGTAAGATATATGCTGAACATTTTCATCTGGAGATTCCCTTATCAAATTCCTACTAAACTACCATAGTGCAGTCAGACACCATGATGCTATACAATTGATAGACTTCATGCTAAGTTACTACTATTTTGGCATCACATGAGCACTCATGAGATAAGTGAAGGTAACTTCACAATGATAAAAGGCATAAATGTGTTTTCTCATTCTTCAATATTGAAATAACAGAGAGAGAGAGAGTGACAGACAGACAGACAAAGGTGGCTGCCTATTAAGTTTTTAAATAGTAAGGATAGAAATTGACAAAATTGGAGGTGGCATTATATTTTCAACACATTATTTATCACGTGGTTTTGCAAAACTAGATCTAGGAACAGCTTAGATCTTTCACATTGTAATAAAAACATTTGTAGGGAGGAGGTTTGGATAAATTATCCTAGATTTGCCTATCTTCAGATCTTAATATTTACTGAAACTGTTTCATAGAATAATCATAGGTAGGTATTTAGGAGGCTATTTAGTAAAATGTTATACATATTACAAACGTATATTTTCAATACTGAGGTAATGATGACACCTTTCTGTTTTAATACTCTAATACTTCACATTGTTGTGCTTGGGTGCAGAACTTTATGGAAAATCCAGCCCTAAAAGAGTTGCCTAGGGTAATACTGCAACCCTGGAGAAACAGGAGTAGAACCTCAATCTTGCATCTTCCAGTCATGTGCTTTAACCTCCGAACCATGATAAATCAATTTTCTAAGCCTGAATCAAATGAGTTCCATTGTAAAGGACAACAGATACACAATTGAGTATTTATTCAGCCAGCTATTACTGATTGTCACATGTGAATACAAGTTCATGATTTCTGAGTCACAACCTTTCATGGGTGAAAATACTTTGGGTGTTCTGCTAGAATGGAGCTGTGATGTTGCATCCAGGGAGAACAATAGTCAGTTGAGGATATATTTCACTGCTAATTGCCAGTTGAAAGCAAACTATGTTCCTCTGCAAGACTTCTCAAAATATTGTGGGGAATCACCTTGGGGTCTCAGTTTGCATCCTGAGTTGACACGAAAGCTGTTTAGAAAGATAAAATATCTAGATTCTCAATACTGTAGATTCTCAATCTTACAGAAAGTAGTAGGTGTTGGGGACACTTTCAGGAAAAGGCTTCAAGAATGTTAACATTAAAAACTGGTGGAACCACTTACTGAATTTAGGGTCGAATCCTGCAGTGGAGGCAGTATATTTGCTTTTATTATTTGAGCGATCTTAACATTTGCTGTTTTCATATGCATGTTTGTTAGACCTCTTCATTTGTATTTTGAAATTCATGTTAATGAATATACAGAAAGCCTAAGAGCCTAGAAATTGCTTCAGAGATAATAAGAAATAGCTTATTAAGTTTGCAGATGATACCAAGCTGGGAGGGATTGCGACTAATCTGGAGGATAGGGTCATAATTCAAAATGACCTGGACAAATTGGAGAAATGGTCTGAGATAAATAGGATGAAGTTTAATAAAGACAAATGCAAAGTGCTCCACTTAGGAAGGAACAATCAGTTTCACACATACAGAATGGGAAGCGACGGTCTGGGAAGGAGTACGGCAGAAAGGGATC